CTAATAAATCTACCCCCAATAACAAGTCAATTGACAAGAGGAAAAGCATTCCCTAAACAATACCAAAGGTCTCTTCCGAGTTATCAATGGCTTCCCGTATCAACTATTAAGCCTATTTCCATGGAATCAAGCAATAAGGGACATTAAACGCAATACTTAACTTCCTAATCATCCAATCACCTACTTCCGTGATGATCTTCAAACCATTAATTGAAATACCCAAATCCCGTTAATACCCAACTTCCGTTGCAATAAGAACAAAGGGATGATAACAATACTAATTATTCCTAATCTAGCATTGGCATAAACACAATCAATTAAGCATGTCAATTGGGATTATTATTGGAGAAATTAAAGATTCAATTCATGTATCAATCATACTCGGGCTTTGCAAGATCCCAGATTAAGGATCTACTCACACATATTAACGAAAGCAAAAACAAGATTTAGCAAAGAAAACATAATTAATGAGCATTGAAAAGTAAAAGAGAGATAAAGTAGATGAATACCAATTACTTCAATTGAGAACGCTTGAATTGTTGATGAACAATAATCCAAAACTAAGATTAAAATTAATTGCTTAAAGAGAGTAAACTAGGGTTTTAAAGTTGTTTTAATACTAGGGAAACTAATAAGCTGTTTTCTAAATGTGATTACAAGGGGTATTTATACCCCTAGAAAGATAGAATTCCGTAAACAATTAATGACGGTCATCGCGCAACATTGCCCGGTCAGACCAGGCAAGGCTTGCCCAATCGGGCGGACGAAGTTAATGCCCCTTACTCTTACTTTCTTCTTCTGCCCGGTCAGCCAGGGCACCTCACGCCCGGTCGGGCACGCGTAACAGCTTCAAGAATGCAGCTCTAAAAATAATTCTTCACTGCCCGGTCTGCCAGGGCATGACATGCCCGGTCGGGCACGTGGGATCAAATGACTATTCTTCATAGTTAGCTCTTCCTTTCTTCGCCCTAGCAGCCAGGGCATGGGATACCCAACAGGGCACTGGGGAAATCTTCATTCTTCACTCAACAATTCTTCTATAATCATCTAAAACAAGTCCGATCCATCTAAGAAATCTCCGTATTCCTGTGAAACTCAATAAAATATTGAACACACTAGAGAAGAGATTGTTAGCGAGAAATGGCTCCGTAGAGCTGAAAACCATGAAAATATACACTATAAAATCGGGGTAAATCATGGTATAAAATGCGTACATCAAATTCCCCCAAGCTAACCTCTTGCTTGTCCTCAAGCAAGACAATAAAAAAAAATGAATAACTAAGCAAACATACTTCACCCCGCAATGAAATTGAAAATAATAGACTCAAAATCGAAATCAGACAAGCATGCATCTTAGCCAACCAATCGTATCACTCAAACCATCAATTAACGTAAGTAGTCGTCAAGCGAAACCAACCATGTATAACTCGGGAATCGATGACTAGAATATCTCACTTGGTGGTCACTCTACACAACATTTATGTGGCAAGCTAAAAATGAGCTCGATCTCTCTCCATCCCCACCAATAATGAAAACCCCCCATATCACAACACTCGCGTGTTTAAAGGGTTATATTATTGCTCAACCTAGTCAAATGTCGACTCGAAATATGACATATGCTCCAGCATTTTGACAGAAGACTCATTTCACATGAACACAATACCATGCACGAAGGTCAAAAGGTCTTTTTCAAGCTTGTAATGTAGGCCAGGTAAAAGTGGGTAGGAAAATAAATTTGGGAAATGTAGGCAATCATAGTCTAACTGGGGAGCTATTGAACATAATCAATAAACATCCTCGATCTATTCTTCTCACTAGCAAGAGCACATACCCCAATTACATCGTGAACATACACTACTACCCTTATTTTTTCATTCTTCTAATTCTTTTCTTCTTTTTCAAAATTTTTTCTTTCTTTCATCTTTCTTTTTCAAAATTTTACTTCTCTTTTTTCTCTTTGTTTTTTTTTCAAGGATAAAACCTCCATGCTTGTGATTCCTTCTTTTCTCTTTTTTTCTTAGAGCTCCACATTGGACGCCAATTTCATCACAAAATTAAACAAACACCACGATATAAACCTCCCCCAAACTAGACTTGGGAAAAGTAACCAATTGGGGCCAAAGGGTTCATTTTGTGACTTTCATGAAAAATATGGACAAGGCTACAACATGGGTGAGCAAGAAGGGAACAAACGTTTCTAAATTCATCTGGAGGTCACCTAAAGAACATGGCCTTCTTCCTTCTCAACGTGCACGTGCAATGTACTATGACACATTACTAAGAGTTTAAAATCAAAACTAAGATCAATATCACACCAGGAACTAGACACACATGAATAAATAATTAAGGCTCAAGCCTCACAGTTAACACAGTCAAGCTCCAGACTCATACATGGTTAATAAAGTTGACTTCTACTAGGGATCAAAACAATTAAAGGTTAAATCATGATCATTTAATTCGCAATGCAAGCCTTTCAATCAAGATCAAGTCAAAAACCTTTTGGTATTAAGGATAGGGGCACATGGAAGTAGTTCACTGGCCATTCATTATCATGATTCTCGTATTTTTTCATTTTTTTAAAGCACCCAAAGAAATAAAAACAAACCAATCAAAGCAAGAGAATGTACCGAGAGATATATACATATACACAATCCTCCCCCAAGCTACACTCGGCAATGGCCTCATTGCAACATGTGGGAGGTGGGAAAAACACCTATGAATTCTCAGTCGAATTCATCATCATCTTCACCGTCATCATCATCATCATCACCAGCTGCTCCACTACTACCTGCAATGTCTCCCACATCGGGAAAGGTATACCACGAAGGGTGGGAAGCATCCCTCGGGATATGACCTTGCCTGCAAAAATAATCATAGGCAGGATGCATAGACAGGCGAAAATCGGTCTCAAGAGTCTGGATACGGGAGTATAGGCCTTGCTGGCCTAACTGAAGTTCCCGTATGCCGGCCATGATGGCCTCATTATCATAGGGGACAGGTGAAGCAGTAGAAGAGGAAGAGGGTCCAGCAGACGCTCGCCTATAATAGGTCCTCGTAGGGGCAGTTGGGGGAGGTGAACCGCTAGGAATCTCTAAAAGATAAGAAGGTTGGTGAGGGCAAATCTTAGTAAGGTCAGGAGAGGTTAGAGAGATGGAATGCCTATGGCTCTTCCCAATGAGTCAACTAAAATTGCCAAATTCAACAGACAGCAAACCGGTAGTGGTGAAGTAATGCTGGTCTAGGGTAATAGGACCCGACACTGGTGTGTGGTGAGCTTCATCAAAGCCCTCCTTGAGTGCCAAATGGGTCACCAAGCTGCCTAAAACTATAGGGATGTTAGAGCGGTCGCCATTAGGTTTGACAGTGGTGAAGGTAAGACCCTGTTTCCTAAGATGAAGCGCAAATAGGTGAGCAATGTTCATCCAGAAATCCTCATCATCATCCCCAAGTCTTAGATAACTACCCAAGATCGCAACCTCATCAGCCCTAACGTCATAGGGTTCTATGCGTCCAAAAATAGTCCACCCGGTAAAGCGGGTCCAAAGTCTAAGAACGGATTGATGGATTTTATTTGCATGAGCATGTTGCATAGATTCAATGTTTTCACCTGTCATGGAAAACCACAATTCCCCATAAATGAAATTGTTTTGTTGCATAGTTAGTCTTGTGGATGGGAGACCAAATTTCCTAGCAAACCCATCTAGTGTAATGCGGTGGGATTTGTTCAACAACCTATAAACCACATATGTCACTAACCCATCTCTACCCTTTACCACATCAAAGGAACTCAAAAATTCAAGAGTGATACCCTCATAGGTATAATGAATCATATTGAACATTTGAGACATGCCAAGTTTAGCAAATAAAGTTCTACATTCAGAATCAATTCCTAGTTTTGCAAGCAAAGAGCGATCTATAAAACGGGTAGGAATTACCTTCCAATGTTGGAGCTCTATGAAACGCTTCTCTTGATTCGGAAATTCAGGCACGAACTTGATGTGTGGGAACCCTGGAATGCTCTCCAAATCATGTTGAGGTTCTTGAGGGGCGCCTCTTGTTCTCTTCCTTGTAGCCATTGATGTACCTCAAAGCTTTCTCTCTCTAAAAAAATGGAAGTTTTGGGTGAGGAGAGTGTTTAAAGGTGAAAGGAGTAGCAATGGAGGTTGAGAGTTTGATAGGAATTATGAGGGATGAGGAAATTGAAGAATTTGTGTGAAGATTTGTGGGGATTAGAGGAGAGGATGAGAGTTAGGGTTTATGATTTGGGGATTTTTAGAGAGAGAGAGTGTGGGAATAATGAGGATGAAGGGTTAGAATGGTGAAGAGAGGGGTGTATTTTCTGAATTAAAATCGCGGAAACCGTTCGCGCCCGATCGGGCAGGGCTTGCCCGGTCTGACCGGGCGGTGAAGGTTAGAGTATCTCATATTCTTCTTTCTAGCTGCCAACTCTCGCGCTTGATTGGACACCTCATGCCTGGTCTGACCGGGCGGTGGGGGTTAGAAAGAAAGTTCTACGTTTTCTTCCTCCCTTTTCTTCTCTTCTGATCAGTGCTTCTCGCGCCCGATAGGGCACCTCATGCCCGGTCTGCCAGGGCGACGAGTTAATTCCTCATTTTATCAACCTTTGACGACCTTCTTGACATCCAACTTCTTGCATAGCTCAGTGTTCTTTGAAAAGCAAAACAAACACAAACACAAAACTAAAAAAAAAGATGAAAATAAGAAAAACTAAGAGAACGGGTTGCCTCCCACAAGTGCTTGTTTATAAGGTCGTTAGCTTGACCGTAGTGATGCTCAATGAGTTGGTGGTGGGGAAGAGAGTGCGATGTCCACCTTCTCTTCGATAGGACCCCCGACTCGGTAGTGCTTCACCCTTTGTCCGTTAACCTTGAAAGTGCCTCTGGTCTTGTTCCATAGTCAATAGTACCGTAGGGGTAGGCCTTAAAAACAGTGAAGGGACCCGACCACCTAGACCGAAGCTTACCAGGAAGCAATTTCAATCATGAGTTGAATAGAAGGACTTGATCTCCTTCCTTGAATTCTCTTCTCACAAGGCTCTTATCATGCCACCGTTTGGTCCTTTCCTTGTATAATTTTGAATTCTCGTAAGCTTCAAGACGGAGCTCATCTAGTTCATTCAATAGTAACAACCTCTTTTCTCCCGCTGCTTTAGCATCAAAATTTAAGCTCTTAATAGCCCAAAACGCTCGGTGTTCTAGCTCAACGGGTAGGTGGCAAGCCTTCCCATAGACAAGTCTATATGGGGTTGTACCAATTGGCGTTTTAAAAGCCGTTCGGTATGCCCATAGCGCATCATCAATCTTAGCTGACCAATCTTTTCTTGTCCTTGCAACCGTTTTCTCTAAGATAGACTTAATTTCTCGGTTGGACACTTCAACTTGACCACTAGTTTGTGGATGATAGCCAATGCCAAGCCTGTGTTGCACTCCATATTTCTTCAACATCGCTTCGAACCGATGCTCCAAGAAGTGTGTTCCCCTGTCACTAATCAACACACGTGGGATACCAAATCGGGGAAAAATTATTTTCTTGAAAAATTTACTTACCATACGAGCATCATTGGTTGGAGTAGCAATAGCTTCAACCCACTTTGACACATAGTCAACGACTACTAGGATATATCGGTTTTCATGAGAATAAGGAAACGGACCCATGAAGTCTATCCCCCATACGTCAAATAACTCGACCTCGAGTATGTTGTTGAGTGGCATCTCATTCTTCCTAGAAATATTGCCCGTCCGTTGACAACGATCTCAGGCCTTGACATAAGAGTATACATCTTTGAACAAGGTTGGCTAATAAAAATTGCACTGCAAAATCTTTGCGGTTGTCTTCGAAGGACCTGCATGTCCACCACACGGTAAGTCATGGCAATGAGAGATGACATTAGTTACCTCATTCTCCGGGATGCATCGTCTAATCACTGCATCCGCACATAGCTTGTACAAGAAAGGATCTTCCCAAAAGTGTCTCCTTGCCTCATAGAGGAATTTCTTCCGTTGTTGAGACGAGTAGCCATGAGGCATTGTACTTGTGGACAAAAAATTAGCTAAATAAGCATACCAAGGTGACTCAATTTTCAAAAGAGCTAATAAATGTTCAGCAGGGAAAGAATCATCAAAAGGGAGATCATCTCCGTCCCCATTATCGAGGAGGAGGCGAGAAAGATGGTCTGCGACGACATTCTCAGTCCCCTTCGTGTCCTTTATCTCGATGTCATAATCTTACAACTGAAGGATCCAACGAATCAAGCGCGGCTTGGCGTGACTTTTACTCATTAAATATCTCAATGCCGCATGATTTGTATGAATTATTACTTTCGAACCAACTAGGTAAGAGTGAAACTTGTCTATTGCATAAATTACTACTAGCATCTCTTTTTCGGTTGTGGCATAATTCATTTGAGCAGGGCTAAGAGTTTTACTAGAGTAATAAATAGCATGAAGTTTTATGTCCTTTCGTTGCCCCAAAACGGCTCCTACCGCAGAGTCATTAGCATCGCACATAATTTCAAAAGGTAGGGTCCAATCCGGGGGTTGCATAACAGGAGCAGAGATCAAAGCTTCCTTCAACCTGTTAAAAGCTTCAAGACAGGCATCAGTAAAAATAAATGGAGCATCCTTAGCTAGAAGCTCAGTTAGAGGTCGAGCAATGTTTGAAAAATTATTAATGAAGCGACGGTAAAAACCTGCATGACCAAGGAAACTTCGAACTCCTTTTACAGAGTTTCGGGGGGGGGGGGGGCAATCGCTCAATGACCTCTATTTTAGCCTTATCGGCCTCAATACCCTTATTTGACACGACATGACCTAAAACGATTCCCTGTTGTACCATATAATGACACTTTTCCTAGTTTAAATTAGATTAACTTCTTGTCATCTACGGAGCACCTTTTTCAAATTTTCAAGACATACATCGAAAGATGTTCCATAAACAGAAAAATCATCCATAAATACTTCCATAGAATTCTCTATGAGACCTGAAAAAATTGCCATCATACAACGTTGAAACGTGGCTGGAGCATTACATAATCCAAATGGCATCCTACGGTATGCAAAAGTGCCATATGGACATGTGAATGTGGTCTTTCCTGATCACAAGGACGAATAGGAATTTGAAAGAAACCAGAATATCCATCTAAATAACTAGAAAAGGGAAAGGATATTCTCAATGGTAACCCCCTATTATTGCTACGCACCAATGGTAACCCTCTTTTTTTTGGATTATACAAAATGACTCTACTTTTCTTTTTTCTCCTAAATATGACATTAATGATGGTGTTTTAACATAAAATAGTCAATTAAAATTAACTATGGTTAGTTTTTTTAATAATTAATAATTATAAAAAAAATGACACTTGTTGCAAGATCATTGGTTAAAAATTAAAACAAAAAACAAAAACAAAATTTCAAAAAATTCTCACCCAGCCCCACCCCTTTACGGTTGCCAAACCATCCGGCCACCTTTACGGCGGCCATCCGTTCCCCCACTCCAGGTGCTGCGCCAAATTCCCCCTCCCCCCGCGCTGGTACTGTAACCCACCCCAATCGCCACCCTCCTTCCCTAACCCAACCCTTCATTTTCCGGTTCTTCTCCGCCGTTAAAAGCCCCAACCTCCGCTCCCGGAACTCCCTTGAAACCCCTTCCCTACTCCCGAAAACATCCAATCGGCCCTCCCTGGTACTGTAGGTTGTTGCGTTGTGGTGTGATGTGGCCACCAAGCCCTCCCCGAAACCACCCAGCCAGCTCTCCATTTTGAAATCTTCGTCACCATATTACCGGAAATTAAACCTCCGTGAAGGAGGCGAAATCTAGCGAGGTGAACCTCGAAATCGACGTCATCACAAGCATGGATTAGGTCTCTAGAGGTTGAAGATGAGGTCGGAGTTGAGAATGCGGTGGTGTGTGATGAACGCCGAAGAATTGTTGGCGGAGGAAACGAGAGGGCTGGGGTTAGATGGGTTGTGTTGGTGGTTTTGGGGGTTGGGGAGGGCTGGGTAGGTGGTTTCGGGGGTCGAAAAGGGGTGGTAGAGGACAACCGACTATTTTCGGTGGTTAAGGAGGGTTGGTCGGCCATTTTCCGGCGAGATTGAGGGTTGGGGTTAGAGTTCCGGCAAGGTTAGGGGGTGGGGAAAGGGTGGTTGGAATATTGGGTTTTTTTTTTATAAATAAAATCTGTAAAATAAAATGGGGCATTTTTGTCATTTCGCTATTTTGGCTAACCATGGTTTAATTTTATGTTAAAACATCATCATTAATGTCATCATTAGGAGAAAAAAGATAACTAAGGTCATTTCATATAATCCAAAAAAAGGGGGGTTACCGTTGGTGCGTAGCAATTGTAGGGGGTTACCATTGAGAATATCCCAAAAAGGAATGCTTAGCCAAACGTTCAAGCATCTGATCAATAAAGGGGAGGGGGAAATGGTCCTTCCGGGTGGCCTTATTCAACTTTCTATAGTCAATACACATTCGCCACCCTGTGACAGTCCTAGTGGCTACTGGCTCATCCTTGTCATTCTTGACAACGGTCATACCTCCTTTTTTAGGTACTACTTGTACAGGGCTAACCCACTTACTATCTAAGATAGGGTAAATCAATCCTGCAGCAACCAATTTAAGAACCTCTTTTTTAACTACCTCCATCATGTTTGGATGAAGCCTTCTTTGAGGTTCTATAGAGGAGGCATGATCGTCCTCAAGAATAATTTTATGCATACAAAAAGAGGGATTAATACCATTAATATCATCAATGGTGTACCCAATAACATTTTTATATTTTCTCAAAATAGTGAGCAGTTGCTTCAATTCTGTGTCATTAAGCTCAGCTTTAACAATAACAGGATATGTATTATTTGGACCAAGATATACATATTTAGGAGTAAAGGGAAGGGGTTTCAACTCTACCTCGGGAGGCATAGTATTCTCCCCAACACTCAATGCACTAAGGACTTTCTTGATTGGAGCGATGATTGGATTGGCTTTTGCTTCCTCAAGTAGCCTTGTGTACTCCCTTGTTTCCCAATCTTCATTATTAAAACACCCCATTAACACCGTTTCAAGTGCATCTTCCGTTTTAATCAAGGGAAGTTGCTCACGTTAAAATCATCAAGGACATCCACTTGACAAATAGTCTCTCCCATGGAAGGAGTTCCCATAGTATTCAAGAGTGAATACTCCATTTTCTCATCTCCTACTTCAAAAGTGATTTTACCATTCTTCATATCAATGATTGCTCCCGCAGTAGCTAAGAATGGTCTTCCAAGAATGATAGGGACATGTGCATCCTCCTCCATTTCCATCACAACAAAATCACATGGAATAAAGAATTTTCCCACGCGTAGAGGAACATCTTCAAGTACACCCAAAGGAAACTTGACTGACCGATCCGCAAGTTGTAAAGATATATGTGTAGGCCTTAGTTCACCCATTTGAAGTTTCTTGCAGATAGAGAGCGGCATAAGACTCACACTTGCACCAAGATCACATAATGCTCTGTTGATTTCTATGTCTCCAAGTTTCACCGGAATTGAGTAGCTACCCGGATTGCTTAATTTCTTAGGAAGTGTATCTTGCAAAATTGCACCACACTCTGTAGTCAATGCAACCATAGCATTCTCCTCTAGCTTCTTCTTGTTAGAGAGCATATCCTTTAAATTTTTTGCATAAGATGGCATCTCGGATATTGCATCTAGGAATGGAATGTTGATGTGGAGCTTTTAAGAATATCGAGAAATTTTCCATACTTTTTCTCTAACTTAGCTTGGGCTAACCTCTGCGGAAAAGGAACCTTTGGCACATATGGAGCAAGAGGTGGTGGATTTGTTTCCTTTGGCTCTTCCTCAATCATAGTACTTTCAACCACCTTTTCATTTGCGCCTACCCCTTCAACAACCTCCCTTGATGGCTCCAATTTCTTTCCACTCCTCAAAGTCACGGCATTCATATGCCCCTTTTGTGGTTGCTCTGTCTGACCCAGAAAGGTACCCGGTGTCTTTGAAGATTGGCCAACTTGATGAGCAAGTTGACTTATCTGATTTTCCATGAGCTTGCTCTAAGCTTGTAACTGTTGGATGGAATTGTTTGTTGTGGTAACGAAGTTTTCCATTATTAGTTCAAGGTTGGATTTTTGAGGAGGTGGTTGCATAGGTTATTGGACTGGAGGTGGCCTTGGTTGGAAACCAGATGGTGCATTGTAATTGTTGTTTCGAGGTGGTGGTGGAGGTGGATTTTGTTGGGCTTGGGTATTCTTATAGGAAAAATTTGAATGATTCTTCCAACCTTCATTATATGTGTTAGAGTGGGGGTCATATGGCCTTTTGGGGTTAGAAGTGTAGAATGCATTGGCTTCCTCGATTGATATCTCATTTGAATTTTGTGGGCAATTAGGTGCGATGTGACCTCGCACAGTACATTACACATTTGACAAGTCTCAAGTAAGCTAGCGGATGATCCAACTTGGAGTCTGTCAAACTTGCTTGACAATGCCTTCACAGAGCTAGTCAAAAGAGTTAGAGCATCCACATCTAATTTACCTCCCTTCTTCACACTATTTCGGCCTCTTGGGTGATAGTTATCATTGGCCGCCATCTTCTCAACTAGTTCCTTCGCCTCAGTTGGTTTCTTAGTCAAGAGAAAACCCCCAGATACAGCGTCAATATAGATTTGGAACTCATGAGTTAAACCATTATAGAAGGTTTGGATCAACATCCATTCAGGAATACCATGGTGAGGGCATTGTCTTTGTAATCTCTTGAATCTCCTCCATGCGTCATATAGGGATTCATCATCTGACTGCTTGAAAGTAGATAACTCGTTTCTCAACCTTGCAGTCTTTTCCTGTCCCAAGAACTTGACTAGAAAAGCCTTCACCAGTTTGTCCCATGTGTCAAATGAGCCAGAACCTTCATCTCTCAACCATTCTTTCGCCCTATCCCATAATGAGAAAGGAAAAAGGTGAAGTCTAAGAGCATCATCTGTAACACCATTTAACTTCATAGTATCGCATTTCTCCAAGAAACTATCAATGTGACTCACTGGGCAATCATAAGATGTACCTGCAAACGAATTATTGGAGATGAATTGAATGAATTGTGGTTTCAATTTGAAGTTCTGAGCAGTGACAGGTGGTCTGACAATGCTTGAGAGGAGTCCGGTTATTGTATCAGGAATACCGTACTCCAAAAGAGATTTCGTGCCTTCTTCGATGTTTCTATTGTTTTGATTCCTCCTTCTTCTTCTACCTCGTCGTCTCCTTGTAGTGGCTTCGATTTCAGAATAAAAAGGTATTAAATCGTCTGATCCTGAACGTCGTGTTTGCATGCAACAAGGAACTAGAAGCAGAGTATCAAGAACACAAGAAACAATAGCCGAAGAAACGAATAAAGCTTAGTAAAACCGAATCACAAATAATCAGAAAGAAAACGTTAGTCCCCGGCAACGGCGCCAAAATTTGATAGGCGTATCGCGTACCTAACAAAAATAACCTAACTATTCCTCCTAACTATGTAGTCGGGCAAGTAAGGGTCAAATCCCAAGAGGCTAAGGTTCACCTAATTAATCAGACTCGAGTAATCACCAAGTAAGTAACCAAATCAATGATGACAAACACTAAAAGCTAATATATTAAATAACATAATTAATCTAGAGAAAATGATAATCAATAAACTAAATCATCCAAGATCAAGCATTACCACGAATATAATCGATACACTAATAAATCTACCCCCAATAACAAGTCAATTGACAAGAGGAAAAGCATTCCCTAAACAATACCAAAGGTCTCTTCCGAGTTATCAATGGCTTCCCGTATCAACTATCAAGCCTATTTCCATGGAATCAAGCAATAAGGGACATTAAACGCAATACTTAACTTCCTAATCATCCAATCACCTACTTCCGTGATGATCTTCAAACCATTAATTGAAATACCCAAATCCCGTTAATACCCAACTTCTGTTGCAATAAGAACAAAGGGATGATAACAATACTAATTATTCCTAGTCTAGAATTGGCATAAACACAATCAATTAAGCATGTCAATTGGGATTATTATTGGAGAAATTAAAGATTCAATTCATGTATCAATCATACTCGGGCTTTACAAGATCCCAGATTAAGGATCTACTCACACATATTAACGAAAGTAAAAACAAGATTTAGCAAAGAAAACATAATTAATGAGCAATGAAAAAGTAAAAGATAGATAAAGTAGATGAATATCAATTACTTCAATTGAGAACGCTTGAATTGTTGATGAACAATAATCCAAAACTATGAGTAAAATTAATTGCGTAAAGAGAGTAAACTAGGGTTTTAAAGTGGTTCTAATACTAAGGAAAGTAATAAGCTGTTTTCTAAATGTGATTACAAGGGGTATTTATACCCCTAGAAAGATAGAATTCCGTAAACAATTAATGACGGTCATCGAGAAATAGTGCCTGGTCAGACCGGGCAAGGCCTGCCCGATCGGGCGGACGAAGTTAATGCCTCCTACTCTGACTTTCTTCTTCTGCCCGGTCAGACAGGGAACTTCACGCCCGGTCGGGCACACGTAACAGCTTCAAGAATGAAGCTCTAAAAATAATTCTTCACTGCCCGGTCTGCCAGGGCATGACATGCCCGGTCGGGCACGTGGGATCAAATGATTATTCTTCGTAGGTAGCTCTTCCTTTCTTCGCCCTAGCAGCCAGGGCATGGGATACCCGATAGGGCACTGGGAAATCTTCATTCTTCACTCAACAATTCTTCTATAATCATCCAAAACAAGTCCGATTCATTTAAGAAATCTCCGTATTCCTGTGAAACTCAATAAAATAGATTGAATACACTAGAGAAGAGATTTTTAGCGAGAAATGGCTCCGTAGAGCTTTAAACCATGCAAATATTCACTATAAAATCGGGGTAAATCATGGTATAAAACGCATACATCAATAGTCTTCAAGGCAAACTTGTCTATCACCCCCAACTCGCCCATGCACCTCAAAGTTACCTCAATAACTACTCATTTTCGTACCAAATTGTTTTTTTGACAGTGGCCCATCCTCCTCGTCCTCATCCTCATTGGTTAGACAATCTATTTTAGACATTAAACCCTTTCCCTTCCTAGTCCAAGACGGAACTTCTGAACTCATTTCACTAGCATGAACGGATTGCTTAATTGCTGTTTCAAAGGAATCCAAATATTCTTGTTCCCTTGTATTTTGTTCACTACATTCAGGTCTAAATTTAGGATTTTGCGTATTAATTGAAAGAAGTTTGCTCGTCTTAACACGCTTAGCCCTATTGGATACGGTAGGACGTAGTCGTGGAATAGGAATATCCTCATTGATATTAGCACTCTCTTTTAAGTTCTTACTTTTTGAATGTCCACCTCTACGAAAAATAAGATTATAATAATTATATACCTATGAAAAGGTACCATCATCAAGGATGCCAAAAGATATTACTGAGTAAAGCAAAAACAGTAAATAAATGGACAACAGAAAACAAAGAAAGCTGAATTTAATACCTATCACGATCTTGGCTTTCATGTGGGCATTATTAGTCGAAAATCAAATCATGCTAAAATATATAATTCCAACATATCTACAGAGATGTTGAATGTTAAAGTTGAATGTGAATGTGAATGTCAGTGGCGGACTTGGGCTTAGACCTGGTGGGTCAAGTGACTCACCAGGCCCAAAAAAAAATTTTAAGTTATTTTAAAAAAAAAAAAAATTAAAATCAGTTTTCCCCAAAAAAACCAAAATTCAGTTCAAGACTTCAAGCCCTAGCCTTCTTCTCTTCGCGACTTTGCCTCATCTCCATTCTTCAGTTCGCCTCTTCGCTTCGTCCCAGCCAGGCAGCCACCGTTCTCTTCGCCTGGTGGTCGGACGTCGGTGGTCGTGGACTCCGTCCTCTTTGTGGCTTCTCGCATAGTCGCATAATCGCATTTCGAAATCGCTACTCGCTAGTAAGTTGATTTCTAATTTTTATTTTTAATTTCTAATCTTCAAATTAATTCAGTCTAATTAGTTAATTTTATTAAACTTTGGTTTAAACTTTGGTTGATTTGTTAATTTGTAGTTGGCTGTGCTGCTGAATTGGCGAATTGCTGTCTTGCTGAGTGCGTGCCTCGGTGCCTGAGACTTGAGTGCTGCCGACTGCCGTGCTGCGGTGCTGGCCGACTGCCCGTGGCCCTATTGCAGTGCTGCTCCGCCTGCTCCGCTGCTCGCCTCCGCCTAGCAAGGTAGGTAATCAACTAATCATCAATTGATTCTTTTTGTGAAATCTGTTTTGTGTAATTGTGTTTTGTGTAATTGTGTTTTGTGTAATTGAAATCTCTTGAACTTATTAGTTATTACTTATGTGAAATCTATTTTGTGTAATTGTGTTTTTGGAAGTGGACAGTAATTGGAGATGATTACTAATTGATGATGATGGTGTGGAAAAAGTCAGGGAGACTAGTTTTTTTGTGAGGAGTTGGCTAGTTGATTGCTGATCGTTGGATTTGTATGATGTTAACTCCACACAGCTAAGGACATGATTCAGGTGGTGGTGGTTGGGGCGGGCATGTAATCGGTAGTTGGAAATTAGGGTGGTGGTTACAGTTTGGGAATGAGGGAGGTGAGTTTGTAGAGAGGAGAATAAATATGAAAAAATTGGCATTTTGGGGTAGAGGTTCTGGAAATTGCAG